AAAAATTGGTACCATTAAATACCGGTACCGATTCCCACGTACCGGACATTGGTACCGAATCGATTCAAACATCAAAAAGGTACCCACCCCTACCGTATAGATCAGGGGTGCCCAACCAGTTGCTGGTTCCCAGGTGGCCACGAAGCGCAACCTTGCTGTAGAGCCTCTAGCGCCGGCTTTGAGCGTTGCATCCCGGAGTGGCTGGTGTTGTTTGAAAGCTCTGGTTCTGCTCTACAAGGTGAAAGTTGAATAAAGTCCCTGCGACATTCCCCCGCGGAGCAAAGAATCTCCAAAATACGCACCGTCGGACCTCCCGCCCGGGTGGTTTTAGCCTCCCCTCTGGGGCTAAGAGCGTCAAATCCCGGGGTGACTGGTCGGGTTCTAAAGCCCTGGCTCTGCCCTACAAGGAGAAAGTTGATTGGAGTCCTGCGACGTTCCCTCGTGGAGATTTAAGCGAAAAACCTACAAAATTACGCACCGTCGAACCTCCGCCGGGGTGGTTTTAGCCCCCCCTTCCTGGGCTAGGAGCATCGGATCCCGGAGTGGCTGGTCAGTTTACAAGCTGATACTTGAATGGAGTTTCTGTGACGTTCCCCCGCGGAGCTATAAGCAAATTACGCACGACTTAGTGCATTTTACGCGCATTTTCGGGAGGAAATTTCAACCTTAGTTTGCTTCTCCCGCGGTATCTGAGCATCTGATCCGGGAAAGTGAGATGACTTTGAAAAGCTACGGTCCTCCTATACAAACTGGAGGTGGTTGCAGGTTCCTGGGACGTTCCCCTGTGGAACTATTAAGCAACGACCGGCCGAAAAAGGCGCTTTGGAGGGCGATATAGTACTCAATTTACTCCGGAGCCTCTAGCACCGGCTCTGAGTGTCAGATCCGGGCAGGAGACGGCTCATTGTAAAGCTCTGGATCTCCACTAGAGATCGACCGATACAGGTTTTTGAAGGCCGATACCGATACKGATTTTTTAAAAATCAGTCTAACCGATACGCCGATACGAGCAGCCGATATTTTTGGGCCGATTCTTGAAGCCGATACTAACTTTTCTTCCTCCACTAACAA